AACAGCCATTATACCAACTGCTGGTCCCTAAAATAATTATTCTTTACCGCTGTCATCCAAAATTTAATTGTTACAAAAATAACTCCTTATAATTAAAGAACTGGGCATATAGGGGTGAGGGGGTTATTTTGCAACTAAATAATCCTGCAGGAGTTAAGATACGTATTGACATTTTTGTTGCACAAATAGTCTCCATATGTCCTAGATCCACTCTTCATCCTCTGCATCCTATTCTATGTTTCATCCTACTTCTATGTTGTTGTTGTTGTTATAGGGTGCACACACTCTATGGAGAGAGACAGAGAAAGTGAGAGAGAGAGAGAATCAGAAAGCATCCCTGGGGTGGACGGCCATGCCACAATTTCTCCTCCATTCTTCTCTTAGGATTTTGGGCACACATACATACATGCCTGGCATGTTTTCCAAGCCTCTGGGTCCAGAACTTGAATGACATGGTTGGCCATGCAGGATCCACCTGCCTTTACCACCATGCCACTGACTGGCCCTACAACTGGGAGCCTATTCTTCATGTCCTGAAAAGACTTACTCTCTAATTTTCAGTTGAGTTCAGCCAATGAGAGAAATAACAGAAAATCAAAAGTTTGGAGGAGAGGGGAAACAGGCCGCAGGTTGGGAGGAGCTGTGGTTCTCTATGGAAAATCAGAGGCCCTGTCAGGAAGAGTCTTTCCTCCAGCTACTATTCTTGCTGGATGTTGAAGGAAATTGTTCTTTCCTCTTCCTCTTTTAAAATTGTAATTGCTTCCTGCTGCTGTTAGCCTTAGGTTGTTCACTGTCCCCTGTTGGTTTACCTTAGCCTTTCCACATAGTACCAGGTTAATGGTCTCCTTTCATTCAATTCTCTTTGGCCACCTCTTCTTTTTTTTTTTTTTTTTAGAGGTTTTTTTTTTTTTTTTTGCTATATAGCGCGTGCGCTCGCTGGACAGACAGAAAGCAAGAAATCACCCCCCAGGGGGGATGGCCACACCGAAATCCCTTCTCCTCCATTCCCCTCCCCGGGATCTTGGGCACACACGCACACACGCCCGGCGTGAGTTTTAAGCCACCAGGTCCAGGACGTGAACCACGGTCGACTACATAGGAGTCCAGCGACATAGCCATTATGCTAACTGCTGGTCCCACCACCTCTTTAACATATGTCACATTTCCTGTTAAGATACCTGCTTTGACATTTTTCTAAGCCAAAAGTATATTTGCCATTGCATTGAAGTTCAGTAAGCTAATTTTTTATTTCTATGCTACAGAAGACATTGAACTGGTTCTTCAGGTATTCTTGCACCCACCTTTGTATAGAACCAGCAAAGCTATTCATCCAAATGATAGTTCTAGTTTGATCTTTCCTGTTTTTTGTTTCTGGTTTTTTGGGGTTTTTTTTGTCTTTTATTTTTGGCCAAAGGGTATGAGTGCTCACCAGAGAGAGAGAGAGAGAAAGCACCCCTTGATGGCGGCAGGTTCTTGCTGCAATCCTTTCTTCTATACACATGCACCCAACATGTGTTTTAAGCCACTGGGGCCAAAATTTGAACCTTGGTTGGCCATGTGGGATCTGACTCCCTTAACTGCTAAGCTACAGAACCAGTCCTTCACTTTTCAATAAAAGTGTAACCTCACTCTTTGCTCTTTTGATCTCTAACTTACAGTGTGTTGGTCAATAATACATGCTTGACGGACTGAACCATAAGCCAATCCCATCGTTAAATAAGTCTCAGAAGACTGGGTGAGAAAATTGATTAGGATCAGGAAAAGTATACAAAGTTCATGTGTTAATTTTTAGTAGAGTAGGATTGTCAGATCAATATATTTAGACTATCTCACCTCTGAAGATTTGCTTTCACTTTTGGGTTATATTAAGCAGTTCAATTTTAATCAAAGGATGACTTAAGAAATTGGTCTAGAAAATCTGATACTGCATTTGCTATAGAGCCATAGTTCTTCACATTTCTTACCACCTCCTATGATTAGTATATGTGACCATATGCCTTCCACAGAAATTCAGTTTTTCTCATCCCCTTTGTTCTGACTCCTCATTCACCCAGCAATATTCTGATTTCTGTGTTGCTCTGCCTATATAAGTACTATGCTGGTCATATAGACCAAGTATTTTTCATAATAAATCAATAAAAAAGACTTCTGAATATCATCTAGCATTCTATGCTTAATGGCAGGGGAAAGGTGCTGATCATGCCCTATGTAAGAATTTTTATTTTATGTCATTACAATATTTCTTATTACAAATGAGTAAATTAGCATTCTAATTCTACCCTGATCTCATGTGCATTTTAATGTGAACCAGTTTCTCAGAACTCAGATCATCTCACTATGCACTGAAAAAAAAAAAATACCCCCTGGTCTTTGAAGTGGGACTCTAGATTTTATCCAGCCTCCCGTAGGAACAAACATTTGTCTCTTCCAGTTGAATTGCTACTTATTAACATACCTCAATGTTAAGTCTCAAGTAAGAGACTCATTTTAGAACTAAATCTTAGGAGAAGCTCTGTTTATCCCAAAAGCTATGACACAGATTATATTTCCCTTCTCTGTCCTTTCTCTCTATATGCAGGAAGCTTAGTGTCAATAGTAAAGGATTTTTAAAAAGTGGCTCTCAAATTTAGTGTTTGTGACATACTTTTGAATGTCAGAATTTGAGTTAGCCAATTTGAATGAATTAAACAATATAAAATAACATCTCAGTGGCCTGCACTTGGTGTGGTGGTTTAGGCATGGTGTTCCCACATAGCCAACTGTGGTTTGAGTCCTTCACCCGGTGGCTTGAAAATCAGGCCAGGTGCGTGTGCATATGTGTCCAAAACCCCAAAAGGAGAATGGAGGAAAAGGGACTGAGGCATGGCCATCCTCTTTAGGGGGTGATTTCTCATTTTCCTTCTGTGTCTCTGTCTCTCTTTCTCTGGTGAGTGAGTACACATGCCTTGTGGCCGAAATTTTTTTTTTAATTTTAAAACATCTTAACAACAAAACTATTTCAGTGGGTCTAGAATGCATTTATGATTAAGCCACTCTCCAAATGGTCCCCTTTTAGCCTTGCAGTTATTTAAGAATTAGTCTTGCTCGGAGAGTGATTTCTCATATAACATAAGGCAAAGCTTTCTTATATTCCAATGAACTACTATCTTTCTCTAAAACTAATTTAAAGCTACACTTTGCCTTTACCTTTCAACTTGAAGCAAAATGTACAACCTGCTCCACTTCAACATTACTATCCTGGGCATAATTGTTTTATAACAAAAATTAAAATTATGTGTCTGTGAAAATTTTGCTATGTATGGTACCATTTCAGCACTCCAGCCAAGAATCAGTCCTCCATTGTGACTTACTGACATAGTTCTATCTTCTGTCCTCCTAATATTTTTTATTTATATTTTACTTTTTTTATTTCATGTATGCCCTGCCCTCTTAAACTCTTAAATGAAACTAGGCTTTCAAAAAATAACAGGCAGAAAGCAAATGCTCTTTTTCAGTTCCTGCTCTCTACTGCCCTCTGCAGGCAGAAGGAAAGAATAAGTGAGTCACAATCTATTACAAACACAATTCTCAGAATAATGCCCTGAAAATTCTTACCCTATAGGAAGGCTTGAAGTTATCGATGATTTTTTTGAAAGCCTAATCACTACCAACACGACTCCATTTATCCACAGCAAGAGTTTCCTAATTTGTTAAAGCCCCTTTACTGTGGAAAGACCTGTGGGAACGATATATCCTATTCTCAGTAAACCTCCCTATCTCCTGTACCCATACACCAAAGTCCTCTCTCATTCTGGGTTATGGCTCTTTAGCCATAATCTTTCTATGTCAAAGGTCCTTCCAAATCTGTAAAACTCGAGTCTGTAAGAGAGAGAACAGAGGCTCAATAATTATAATGACATAAAGGTGCACATATTAAGTGATTCAACTTGTCTGTGCATTTAGGACAAATGTCACAAATGTCAGAACCCCTGCAATGCAGCAGGGATAATGTCAGATTTTGTTTTTTCCTTTTACTAAATGTGTAAGGCAGGCTGCAAGATAACCAGCAAACACGTAGCTTCAATTTTGTGTACAAAGAACTGCTGATTATGCATGGGTTATTTTCTTCAGTCACACTACTTTATATGGATAGCAACACTGTCAGTGATGTCATCTTCTAAAACAACAGACCAGAATGTATAGGCATATTGTGTCAACTGAGCCCAAATCAATGACCTGGGTAATGCGATCATGGTAACACTATTATTCTTCATCTAAACCCTCCGGGCCCAAAGAAAAATAAATGCTAATCTGATGCATGTTCAAGAATATGTTAAGTAGAAAAGAAAATCAAGTCGTTGTCTGATTTTATTTACATTCTAATACGTACTTTCAGAAAACGTGTCACAGAATTTAAGAGCGTTATGTGTATCAGTACATGTTGTATGCGTATATTAGTAGCAAGGCAAATCATGCTTTCTTGGACAAGCTTTTAGCAGGGATGTTTTCTAAAGAGTTGATCTCCAAATGTGTATTCACCTAGCATTCCAACACGTTTCTGCAAATGGGGAATCAGAATGATTTATAGCATTCCTAGTAGGGGAGACAGCATTGTTTCATTGATTGGGGTAAGGAAATTTTTTGAAAAATTTATAGCTTTCAGTTCCATTTCTGCTTGCTTTGATATTCAATTGATTCGGGCATAATATGGACTCAAATTAAGTAAATCACAGTATTTTCAACATCTGGAAACCTAAGATTTCTGAACTGAACAATGATTCGTTAAAACATGCATAGAGAATAGATCCAAGAACTCTTCTCATACGTTTAAAAGTATACATTGAGCGCCTTCTAGAGTTGGGCAAATTTCGAGGAGGGTTTAGCCATTGTCTTTGAAAGTCGCACATCCGGGACCCTCGAGAGATCAGCAAAGGCCACACCCCCGCGGGGGCGGAGTCATGGGTGATCTGGGCGGTCCTCCCACCGCGCCCCGCCCGGTCCCGGCTGCGTGCACTCCGGGGCGGAGCCTACGTGGCGCGCTTGCTGAAGCTGTAGGACCTCCGCGCTGGCTTCAGCCATGGCTGAGGGCTGCCGGACGCCCCAGGCCCGGGCGCTTTTGCAGCAGTGCCTGCACGCCCGGCTGCAAGTTCGCCCAGCCGAGGGGGACGCTGAGGCGCAGTGGGTGGAGGTAACGTCAGCTCGGTAGCTCCTGTTATCCTCCGACTCTCAGGGGCGGTTCCCTCCGTGTCTTCTCGGTGCCTGGTTCCCCCGCGTCTCTTTCCAGGCGGGCAGGCCTGCTGCGTGAGGCTGCAGCGTGTGGCTGTGGGCGTGTTGTACCTCCGGCCGGGTCGGCCCACGCTGCTCGCAGTAGCCAGCCTGCCTGCCTGCGCTTACCTCTTCGGCCCTGTACCTCTGTGCCCGGCACCAGATGTATCTCCCTCCTCGCCCTCTGCAGGAGACCCCATCCCCGCGCTCCGGTGGATGGACGCGGGGATTTGAACACCTCCCACGGTCTGCAAACCTGAGCTAGACTTTAGGCCTAATCGTCTCAGACCCTTTGCTACTCGATCTTTGCTGGTCTGGTTCGAGCGTGCAGGTTAGGTATGCCTCTAGAGTTAAGGATCTGTTCCTTGCTGCCCAGGTGGGTCAGATTCCCATTATGTTGACTGATTGATTTTGATTTTAATAGAGAAACGAGATTTCCCAAGGAACAATTCTATTTCAAGAAACGTTGTTTTAGAATTTGACTTATTTTCAACCAAGAAACAAAGACCACTACTTTAATAAAATGTTGCACTGTTATCCAACATTTTCTCCAAAGGAAACATTCATTTCTGTATGCCCTTCTCTTTTATACCTCCCTATTTACAGATAGCCTGCCCCCACTTAATGCAAAAGCAAGTAACATGTTCTTTAAGACCCCGAAATATGTTTGGAGTAATTTGTGTAAGAAAAAAAATTAGTAAGACTTTGGGGCCAACCAGTAGCTTGGTGGTTAAGGCACTGAACTCCCACATGGCCGACAGTTTCAAGTCCCGGATCCAGTGGCTGGAAACTCAGACCAGGTGTGCATGAGTGTCCAGAATCCCAAGAGGAGAATGGAAAAGGGACTGCTGCTTGGCCATCCCCCTTAGGGGTGATTTCACACTTTTTCCTATCCCTGTCGCTCTCTGTCTCTGGAGGGCAGGCGCCCTATGGCAAAAACGTTAAAAAAACAAAACAAACAAACAAAAAACTTGGAAACCTTAATGTGGGAGACTGTCATTCACTCATTTTTGCAGAATTGGGTTCTAGATCTGGCATTACTTAACAATCCTAGTCATTATTACAAGTACCATCCCTGAACTATTCTTAAATCAGAATCTGTTACCCTCTGCCGATTTGGAAATATTTATAAACACAATAATTCCTGTATTTCTACCTCTTCCCCTTTTCTCAGAAGTGTACTTTTTTCTGTTGTTCTTTTCTTTTTTTTTTTTTAATATAGTTACCTCCTGGCTCTATGAATTCCAAACTATTAATCATTTAGGTTCCTTTCATGCTTCTTTTTATGTTCTTCATGCCAAAGCTGCCTATGTAAAAATGTACTTATTTTATTACAACCTTACAAATCATTAGTTTGTACTTATTAACTTTAAAAGCTATTTTTAAAGGCTCTTCCTTTCTCTCCCACCCACATAACTAAATCAATTTAAAGAGCTGACAAGTAATTTGATAGTGAAAGTGAATTCTCTTTCTCACGCAACATTTTTCTGTGTGTGTTTAGATTTTGCTATAGGGTACATATGCTTGCCAGAGAGAGAGAGAGGAAAAGCAAAAAATCACTCCCTGGAGAGGATGGTCATGCACAACCCCTTCTCCATTCTGCTCTTGGGATGTGGGACACTCATACATAGATGCCCAGTGTGGTTTTCAAGCCACCAGATCTGGAACTCAAACCTGGGTTGGCCATGTAGGAGTCCAGTGCCTTACCACACCACCTGCTGGCCCCATTTCTCACACATCTTCCATGTTCTATTATTTAAAATTCTTACTTTTTTAGGAACTTTTTTTAATTGTCAAAAGATTTAGAGGTTACTTGCTTGTTATTATTCATTTGGAACTTTGCTGTCATAGACTTTTTCTTCTTAAATGTTTTTCTTTAGGGAAAAGAACTTTTCAAAGCTGGAATGAGAATTATCTGTACTTTTCTATATATTTCAAATGTTTCATTCCAAAGAAGTTACAAAGAAAATGATAGTGACTTGAAAAGAATCTATAGATCTATTACTGAAATGAAAAGAAAATACCATAATAAGGACGTCATGTGCTAAGTGAAAAGAACTGTGTCTGTTTCTATAAATAATTAAACAATTAGGAACTTAATTCCATCATTGTGGAGTGTCCAGATATGAATATGCTTAAGATTTTAGCTGGTGCAAGAAACAGTACCAGTGGAGAGGGCTGTGACAGTAGTGCTGGTGCCTGCATCTTGCAACTTGCTGGCTCTTTGTTATGGTGTCCGTTGGAAGCCTTTGCCTGTTGTTCCAGAACCAAATGGTCCTTTTTAAAAATAACTTCTGGGCCAGCAGGTGGCATGGTGGTTAAGGTGCTAGATCCCACATGGCTACTGTGGGGTTCGAATCCTGGACCTGAGGGCTTGAAGATTATGATGAGTGCATGAGTATGCATGGGTGCCCAGAATCCTGAGAAGAGAATGGAGAAGAAAGCATTGCAGCATGGCCATCCTCCTTGGGGATTGACGTCTCACTTTCTGTCTCTCTCTCTCTGGCCACAGCAAAAAAAACAAAAACAAAACAAACAAAAACAGGTAAATCCAGTGAGATGCAGAACTACAGTTACATAGAAAACCATTAGGAAACAAATGGAGCTGGGAGATACAGTCCAGTGTTAATGTAATGAACAGATAAATTGAGTCTTTGTCATGGACAAAACAGTCTATAAAGTGCTTTGAAAGTTGTAATGTAAAACAAATTGTGCCTCTGCTCTTAAATTTATTTCTACGCACTCAGGTAATGAGTTATTATATAGCTTAACTGTGAACCAGGCTCTATTTTTAAGTACTTTACAAATATTAGCTCATTTAATCTTTATAACAGCTCCTGGAGCCAATCAGGTCAATATATAGAATCAAAAATCTAATAATTCACTCGACTGCAGAATCGAAGTCATGTATCAAGTGTCTCTTCTATATAGTCTCTTTCCTAAAAGAGCTAAAAAATATCCAGGTCATTATGTAAAATAACTAAGTTTATAATCTTGATAACAACCAGCCTTATGATGTAGAATTTACAAACATAGTTTTCAGGGCCTAATTATGTTTATTTAAAGTAATAACGATAATAACAACAAAAACTGGTCAGTTTCCTGGAGTTTATAGAAATAGAATCAAACCTTTATTTTCATTATCTATAAGAAGATTGGGGGAATAAAGAGCGATGATGTCAAAAGACATCAGTCATATTGTTGCTTATCCATGAGCCGTATATGCTGTGTGGATTTGAATACTTTGGTATTGAATAAATGGAGCCCTATAAACCAGTGATCTTTAGCCCCCACACCACAGGCTGATGCCAGTTTATGACCTGTTGGCCTCCTGTCCCAAGCATGCATGATGGTGGTGGTGGTGGCAGCGGCGGGGTTAGGGGTGGCAGAGACACAGCCGGCGAGCAAGCAAGGCTTTGTCTGTGTTTGCAGCCACTCCACATTGCTTGCATTGCTGCCTCCTGTCAGATCAGCAGTGGCACTGGATTCTCACGAGGGTACAAATTCTATTATTGAGTGATTATTTCATTGTATATTGCAGTGTGGGTACTGGTGGAAATGGGATGCATGGTGGATGTGGTCAGCTTGAGTTATCCTGGGACCAACCCCTCACTCTCCATCCATGGAGTGATTGTCTTCCACAAGGCCAGCTGCTATTGCTGGGAAGGCTGGAAACCAAGGCTCTTACTATCAGCTCTACTTGGTGGAAAGGAGGCTGTTTGGAAGTCCTAATAATTTTTTTTAAAGAATTATTTTATTTATTATTATCATTATTATTTTCCAGTTTGATCAGAGAGAGACAGAGAGAGAGAGAGGAAGTGAGAAAGCAAGTCACCAAGTCCGAGACTTGAACCGTGGTTGGCCATGTGGGAGTCCAGCGCCCATGCCACCTGCCGGCCCCAAGTCCTAATAATTTTATAACTTGTGGTCGTCACTGTTCTTGGCTGTATTTTAAACTTAATTTTTGAAAGAGAATAACTGAAGTAACTGAAATTTGAAAAAGATTTTATTTTCTCACATATTTAATTAAAAATAAAATCTAGGGCCAACAGGTGGTATAGAGGTTAATGTGCTGGATTCCACATGGCCGACTTTGTGGTTCAAGTCTGGACCTAGTGGCTTGAAAATCATACTGGGAACCTATGCCTGTGTGCCTAAAATCCCAAGAGGAGAATGGAGAAGGGTTTGCTGCATGGCCATCCCTCCTGTGGGGTGATTTCTCACTTTCCCTCTCTCCCTCTGTCTCCGGTGAGTACGTGTACCTAGAGCAAACTAAAAACAAAACAAAACAAAAAAGTAAAAGTAATAAAATCTATTGGGAAACATTTCTTGTCCTTTACATTTAACCTTTTTAACAATTGTGAAATTTCATTTATTTAATACTGTCTCTAGATAGATTACTTTCTAACCTGAATTTACTGTTTTCTCATAGATTAAGAGAGGATTAGTGATTTATGTGTGCTTCTTCAAGGGAGCTGATAAAGAAATTCTTCCAAAAATGGGTATGTGTCTGGTGTTATTTTCTTTTTCAAAAGTGAGACAGAATAGCAATAGACAGATAAACCAGTTGGCAAGGAGCATAATCTTAAATTGTGCTGGTATGTAAGTTATTAATTGTTTAACTCCATCTAGTGTTGTTAGCTTTCGATATTTGTCTGTTCCAAAGTTTTAAATAAATGTGGGTGAACTCTTAGAACATCTGCAGCATTTCAGATGGCTTGAGGGTTGATTTAGAAAAGTATACACATACATACACACATATAACACACTTCAGCCAAAGATAGATATGAAATCTTTTTGGAAGCAGGGTGGCCACATAGGGAGAAACAGATGCCACATTTCTTAATATAGTTTCCTTTACCCCTCAAGGTTCCTAACAAGGGCAGTAAATGACTTTGTATATACAAAGTGAGTCCCATCAACTCAAGGTTACATCATTATTAAGGAAGAATTTATATAAACCGTTTATGCACTTCTTTATTAGAAATATGTATAAATTTGGGGCTGGTAGAGGGCATGGCAGTTAAAGGTGCTGGACTCCCACATAGCTGACAGCAGTTTGAGTCCCAGACCTGATGGCTTGCTTTCTTACTTTCTCTCTCTCTCTCTCTCGCTCTCGCTCTCTCGCTCTCACCCTCTCACCCCATCTCTCTCTTGCTCTCTTGCTCTGTCCCTCTCTGGTCAAATTCAAATAAATAAATAAAGTTAAATAAAATAATTCTATAAAAAATGAAATATGTATAAATTTAAGATTCTCCTGGTTCTTGAAGCAAACCCAGTGTCATCATAGCCATCCCAACTCCAGGGGCACAGAAAGCATAATTTTTATATCCAAATACTGTCAATATTTTATATAATTATGTCCAAAGGAAAAAAAAACCTGAATTAATGCCACTATCCCTAATGCTGGGGATAGGTTATATTCTCCTCATTAGTACTTGGAGAACACCCATCAGTTAGATTAATGAGAAATATAAATTATACTAATGCTAGTTGATGCTTATAGAGGTTAAACTAAAAGAATTTCAACTAATGGAACTCTAGAGCCAATAGCCCAATGAAGAACAGCCAGGACAAAGAGCTAAAGATTTTAGAATGAATTTTATCCTTCTAGAATCATGATATATCGGGACCGGCAGATGACATAGTGGTTATGTCACTGGATTCCCATAGTCGACCACAGTGGGAGTCCCAGACCTGACGGCTTAAACTCCCACCAGGCATGTGTGTGTGCGTACCCAAGATCATGAGAGGAGAATGGAGAAGGGATTGCAGCATGGCCATCCCCTCCTGAGGGGTGATTTCTCATTTTCTTTCTCTCTGGCGAGCGCACACACCCTATAGCAAAGTCTCTCTTAAACAAACAAACAAACAAAAAGAATCATGATATATCAAACATGTTTGGCAACTTTGTCGAAGGATAAAAATTAGACTCAAAAAGGGACTATGATAGGTAAAGATGGAAAGCCACTAGCTGTAGTCATTTTAAATTTGAACCCATAAGAAGTGGTGAAGGATTTAAGAAGAAAATGAAATGAGCTCCTATTGTAGAGGATAGTTTGTCAAATCCTAAAGCTGGGGTGTTAGACATTCTGTCTACTTTCCTAAGTTAATATTTCATCTTGGATTAAATCTTTATTGGTCATGAAAAGTACATTCTTCAAAAACAAGAAGTTTTGTCATTCTGATTTAGGATTGACTTCCTAAAGTTGTCTAGTGGAATCTTAAATGTATCTTAATCATATTATAATAAGATGAAATAAGCCCTTCAAATCCATGCTGCATTTTTTAAAAGTTTATTTCTTCCATGAACAAGAGAAAGACAGAGAGATAGCACCCCCAACAGGGACTTGACCCTGCGATCTACCTCCAGCTTTAGCCAGCTCTGGATCATTGGAAGGCAAGTGTCCTGTGTACTCAGGGAGGTCTCTGGACATGAACCCGGAACATTCCCATGTAGGTTAGTCTCACAGAAAATTACATTTTACTGCTGTGCCACTGTCCACTCCCTGAATTTAGCTTTACAGTGATTTAATCCTGTGTGCTTTCATTACATGTCTTTGTGTGTGTGTATGTATATATATATATATACATACACACACATATATGTATATATAATATGTATTTTATATATATTAATATATTGTACATATAATTTTTTTTGCACAAGCTCACCAGAGAGAGACAGAGAGAGGGAGAGAAAAAGCACCTACCATTGGTACATGGTCATGCCACCTGTTATGCCATCCCATCAGGGTTTTGGAAATGCAGATGTACTCATACATGCCTGGCATGTTTTTCAAGCTGCTGGGGCTGGGATTTGAACCTTAGTTGACTATGTGGGATCTAGCTCTCCCAACCACTAGTCCATGGAGCCAGCCCCATGAGTTTACTTTAAATATATGCATAAGATTATAGGGAATTAACAGGAGGAGCTCCACCTTAAATCTTTTAGTGTATAGTCTAACACAATACTTCATATATAATGATTTTCAGTATAAAAGAACAGGACTTTAAAAATCACATTCTGCTGCTCTGAGTTTGAAACAAAATAAGTATTTTTTTGGATAGCATTATCTTGTTCTTCCTTCTCATTCAAATAGGCAAAGTAAGCCAGTGCGATGGGATTCTCTTAATCCCCATCTTGTACTTACTGCACACATTCAGATCTTTCCAATCAAATCATAAAGCCCTTAGGAACCTGATCAGTAATATCCATAAAGTCTATAATAGCACAGCTAACATAGAGATATATAGAATCTTCCTCAATTCATCTTCAATACAATTGGACTGAGATCCAGGGACCTGTCAAATTTAACTTCTCATATACATCATTAGAGATACTTGATTGATAATCTGTTTTGGTATCTTTGAAATTCCAATTTGCCATTAATTCATTGTGTCATTTTAATTCTACTTACTGATGTTTGTATCATATTTACTTCTACATAGTAATGTGTGTATTCCAAAAGTATTCATTAAATTCTCAGTAGTAGCCAGTAGAGGGAGGTATGTGGAAATGTAATAAATTCTATTACCTCTGGGGTTTGTTATTCCATAATTGCCTAGTCTGGCACTAGCCTGAGGTTCAGATAGCTAGATAGTGATTTCCATTGGAATGAGGTTCTCTGGTTCATTAGAAAGGACTAATGACAGTACAGCAAAGTTCTATAAAAAATTAGGGGTATTTAAAAATAAATGTTAAGTGGAAATTGATGGTGCATAATGCTTAGCTTAGGAATTCATTTCCGTATTCACCATGGTAGGTTTTTGCAAGGTTAATTCCATAATTTGTAGAGTAGGGAAACCTTACTACTATTTACTATATTCTCTCACATTTGAAATCATTGACTACCTTCCAAGAAGCAAGCTGAATATGGAGGCAGGAATGTGAGGTGTATATAGGTTTTTTTACCTTTTGCCATCTCGTGACTGTTTTTGCAAGCAGAAGTCATTTATACCTTTATAAAGGTAGGACGACCTGTGTCTATTTATATTAGATATTTTCTTTGCTTACTGTTTTGAAAATGGTTAATGTTGAGGTGTAAAGATTTCCTGAGTTTGTATTTTTAGCTACACAGATATTTATAGTAGTTTTTATATTTCATACTAGCTTTAAATCATCTCAAAAATGCTATAAAACTCTCACCATATTTTCTTGTGTGTATATATGAAGATAGTGCTAGTAGCTCTGTAGCTTTTGATTTGTTTTCAGTTGTAACAATGAATTTCTGATGACTTTTATTTTCACCATCTTCCATGAGTTATATTTGTAAAAGTGTCAGTTCTTTTTTTCCTAGAGATTTTTGCTATAGGGCATGTGCATTCACCAGAGAGACAGACAGAAAGTGAGAAATCAGCCCCCACAGGGGGATAGGTGTACCAAAATCTCTTCTCCTTCATTCTCCTGTTGGGTTTTTTGGGCATGTATACAAATGTGTCTGGTGTGAGTTTCATGCCACAGAGTCCAGAACTCAAACTGTGGTCAACCATGTGGGAGTCCAGCACCTTAACCACTATGCCACCTACTGACCCTAGTTCATGTGAATAGTGCCTTTAAGTTTATGAAACTATTAAAATCAGCTGGTTTATAATGGGATCAAACCTGGAACCTTTGTCTTAGTTTAAAACTCTAAGCAACTTAAGGTGCTGTATCCCACATGGCTAACCCCGCAGTTTGAGTCTTGTACCCGGTAGCCTGAAAAATACACTGGTTGCATGGGCATGTGTAGCCAAAATCTGAAGAGGAGAATGAAGAAGGGATTGCAGTGTGACCATCCCCTTGGGGGTGATTTCCGACTTTCCCTTTTTCTCTGTCTCTCTCTGGCAAGAGCATGCACACACACACACACAAATCTAATAAATAAATAAATAAAACAAAAACAACCTCTAGGCAATTAAGTTTAAAATAATAAATTTATTCAAAAGTTATATTTAATATTCTTTTTTATAGAGTAGATTTATCATGGGCTTTTTCCAGTGGGATTTGCCTATGATATAAAAGGAACTGGAAGACAAAACCTTCTCAGGTGTTCCCCCAAGACAATATCTCAGGTTACCACATATAGTTGATTCTTTAGCCCTTTTTCAATGAATTTGTTGTTTAGTTCTTAACTTCCAAGACAGATTTAAAACATCATGTCATTTTATGCATAAAATGTGCCTTATTTGGGACCAGCCAGTAGCATGGTGGTTACGGCACCTGGCTCCCACATGGCCAACCACACAGTTCAAGTCCTACTCCTGGCAACTTGGAAACCAAGCTGGGCACGTGTGTGTGTGTGTATGTCCAAAATTCCGAGTGGAGAATTGAGAAGGGATTGATTGCACCATGGCCATCTCCCTGGGAGATGATTTCTCACTTTTCCTCTTTCTCTGGTGAGTGCACATATCCTATAGCAAAACTAAGAAAAGAAGAAGAAATTGCCTTATTTTTTATGCATATTTAGCCTAATGAAGCTAGAACTTTTGGATTAGAAGCATGAACTGACAAACTAGGTTTTCAACATGTAATTTGCTGTCTGATTAAAAGATTGATGGTTCTCTTCATGTTTGTTTTTCACTTCAAAATGGTTTGTCTTTCTTCTCCACCCAGTTAATACACTGTTAAATGTGAAATTAAGTGAGACAGAAAATGGCAAGCACGTGTCTATATTGGATCTACCTGGCGACATTCTTATCATTCCTCAAGCCACCCTTGGAGGGAGAGTAAAAGGAAGAAATATGCAGTATCACTCTAACTCTGGAAAAGAAGAAGGATTAGAACTTTATTCCCAATTTGTGACTCTCTGTGAAAAAGAATTAGCTGCTAACAGCAAGTGTGCTGAAGCTGGAGCTGTAGTGGAACATGGCACTTACGGGAACAGGCAGGTGTTAAAGCTGGATAGCAATGGACCATACACACACCTCGTTGAGTTTTGAAAAATTAAACGTGCATCACTACAGCTGTTTCTGGTATGAAATGATCTGAACTATAATTAGAGTTTCTTTCCTTTCATCCTGAATACACTAATTTGCAGCATTTTTAAACCAAATTCTGGGTCCCATGTATAACTCTGCAATCTGCTGATCAGATGACCTAGCCAAATTACCTACCCTCTGGATTTCAACATACCTTTGTCCTGCTTTCTCCTATCTTTCCACTCAAAGATTGAAAACTATTGTCTTCACTGTATAGTGACTGAGATGATCTTAGCTATATTTAGAAGGTATGTACATTTTACATTTTTGCAATGAAGAAATTTGTATAATCAAGAAAAGTATTTCTTCAACCCTCAAATTTATGTAGTATGTAATAAAACTATTTGTATTACAACTATGTAAAGTTTAGCACAAACAATTATAACTTTGTCAGTTTTGTTTCATTATTTCTGGTTTTTATACTTTGAATAAAAGAATATGTGATTTACTATTCTTATTAATAATATATATGAAAATATCATATAGAAATGTTATTGTGCGTTATATAACTTTCCAAGGATGTCCAAACTCTCGAGATTATTTTTTTTCTTTAAAGAATTATTTTTTATTTAACTTTATTTATTTTATTTATTTATTTTAGTTTGATCAGACAGGGACAGAGTGAAAGAGAGAAAGTGAGAAAGCAAGCTGCCAGATCCGGGGCTCTAACCACAGTTGGCCATGTGGGAATCCAGCACCTTTAACCCCTGTGCCACCTGCCAGCTCCCCCTTCAAATTATTTTAAGAATATTTAGTTGAGATAAGAACAAGGAATAAGGAATTAAAAGTTCTTTTTATCAGCCTGTGGCCTGGTAGTTAAGGCAGCTGGATCATACATGGCCATCCAGCCCTGGATCCCACAGCTTGGAAAACACTGAGAAGAGCCAGCAGGTGGCGTGGTAGTTAAGACACTGGATTCCCACATGGCCAACCATGGTTTGAGTTCCAGACTTGGCAGCTTGAAAATCATGGCAGGTGCATGTGTGTGTGTGCCTGAGATCCCAAGAGGAGAAGGGATTGTGACATGACCATACCCCCATGGTGGGGGAATGGATTTCTTATATTTCCTCTCACTGTCTCTCATTTTGGTGAGCACATGTGCCCTATTCCTAAAACCTTAAAAAAAAAAAAAAGAAAAGAAAAGAAAAGAAAAGAAAAACACACTGAGTACATAGCATGCATGCCCCAAATCCCCAAACGAGGGAGAGATGAAAGAGAAGGGATTACAGTATGACTACGCCCCATGGGGTGCTTTGTTGCACTCTCTATATCTTCTCTCCGGTGAGCCCAAATTCTGACAATTTTTTTTTTTTAAGTTCTTCTTACTGGGCTGGCCCATAGTGTGGCAGTTCAGGTGGTTGCATCCCACATGGCTGAGTTTGTGGTTTGAGTTGTGGACCTGACAGCTTGGAAAACATGCTGGATATATGTGTGCATGCCTGGAATCCTGAGAGGAGAGTGGAGAAGAAATTGCGGCATAACCATCCCCCGAGGAGGTGATTCCTTACTTTTTCTCTCTCTTTGTGCACATGCCCTAAAGTAAAACTAAAAAATAAATTTTAAAGAGCAAATTGTTTTTTTATTATTAAACATACCCATATAGACGTTCTGTTTATCAATTTTTAATAAACATATCTGCATCTCATTTTCTACCTTTGGTTTTTAGAAAACTCCTTCATGAAATTAGTGTTAGTTCATAAAATTTTTAGGAAGTTCCTTTTTTGTCGAATTAGATTTCTATAAAAGGAAGAAAAGGAAAAGCTTACTATAGGAATACTTTGAAAACAGATTTACTTATTCATTTCTATATTATCTGTTTGATTATTTGGAATCAGCAACAATTTTTGTTAGTGAATGTTATGGGATTAAATATTTGTTATTTTTCCCCACCCCCTCCCCAATATATTGAATCCATAATCCCTAATGTGATGGTATTTCGAGAATGGGTCTTTGGGAGGTAATTAGGGTTAGATGGGATAATGAGAGTGGGGCCCTCGTGATGGAATTAGTGCCTTTCAGTAAGTCACACCAGAGAGCCTGCTCTGTTCTCTCACTATACCCCCAACTATATGAGGATGCAGTGAGAAGGTAGCCGTCTGCAAGCCAGGAAGGGAACCCTCACCAGAAATTGACCATGCTGACACTTTGATCTTGGCTCCCACATGACTGACTGCAGTTCAAGTCCCTGATCTGGTGGCTTGCTTTCCTGCTTTTTTTCTCTCTCTCTGGTAAGTGTGCATACTCTATTAGCAAACTTAAAAGGCAATAATAAAATAATAAATAAAATTAATTATTAAAAAAAAGAACTGTGAGAAGATAATAATTTGTCATGTAAGCCTTCCAGTCTATGGTATTTTGTTATGGCAGCCCAAGCTGTCTAACACAGTACTATTAGATGGACAGCAGGGGCAGCCCCATGACCTAGTGGTTAAAGGGGTCAGATCCCACATGGCTGACGGTATAGTTTGAATCCTAGTCCTGCCTGGATGGCTTAAAAGGCATGCTGGGAGAGTGTGCATGCATGCTCAAAATCCTGAAAGGATAGAGAAATAGAGAAGAGATTGAAGGGTGATCATGTCCTGGTGGGGGGGTGCTTTCTCCCTCTCCCACTATCTCTGTGTCTGTTTCTGGCAAGCATGTGCCTTCTGGAAATTCAAGCAAAAACAAAACAAAACCGCTAATAAGGTAAATTTATCAGAGGGAAATATATAAGAAATTGGAAGAGGGGCCAACAGGGGTCATGGTGGTTAAGGTGCCAGACTCCCACAAGTTCGACCATGATTCAAGTCTCAGACCTGGTGACTTGCTTTATCAGACTGTTTCTCTCTCTCTCTCTCTCTGGACAAATTCAAGAAAAAGAATGATAAATAAAATTGGATAAGTAATTCTTTTAAATAAATTGAAAGAATAAATGAATCAATAAAAGGTAGCACTCATTTTTTACAAATTACTATGCCGATTTAAAAATTTTTTTAAGCATGAAAACCACATAATATTTCTAATTACCAAAATAGATAAAGAAATTAACTTCAACAAACATCTTAAGTAGCTGCTGAAAATTCCTTTGTGTCTTATCATTTCTTTAGGACTGTGTTCCCAAAATACTTAGAATTTTTATTATTGCACAAAGGAAAAAAAATTTTCTCTATACCCTTCCTCTTCTGTCTTATTTTGGAACTTAAGAATCAATAACTGGCTTGTTCATGAGCTCACTGTCCTCAACTTTTGTTTTATTGATTCACAATACACTTATTGAAACATAATAAACTATTCATAAACTTACGAACTCCAATTTTCCCAAAGTTGTCCTGAGGAGGTGTACATATCTTGAAAAAGATTATGTTACCTATTTTAAATCATTTTGATTTTCTGTCCAGGTGAAATGCTGACTCATAGCCCTCTACTGCTATTTTATAATCCAAACAATTCTTTTTATTTTAGAGAGATTTTTGCTATAGGGTGTGTATGCTTACAAGAGAGACAGAAAGCGAGAAATCACCCTCCCAGGGGGGATGACGTGCCACAATCCCTTCTCCTCCATTCTCCTCTCGAGATTTTGTGCATGAACACACACGCGCCTGGCATGAGTTTCAAGCCACTGGTTCCAGGACGCAAACTGCAGTCAACTACATGGGAGTCTAGCACTGTAACTATTACACCATCTTCTGGTCCCCAAGCAATTCTTAAAAGTTTTGCTTGAGGTGTGGGCAGGTGACGTGGTGGTTAAGGTGGTTAAGGGCGTTGTACTCCCACTTGGCCATCTGTGGTTCAAGTCCCAAACCTGGTGGCTTGCTTTCTCACTTTCTTCTCTCTCGCTCTCTGGTCAAATTAAATAAATAAATAAAGTTATTATTTTTTAAAAATTTTGCTTGAGGCACTGTGGAGAATAGTATTTTGAAGTACATGAAAGGTTATTAAACAGAAGGTGATGACTGACTGGGCTTCATTTCCAGGGAGGCTACAGTGAGAGAAAAGGCAGAAGAAATAGTGGATGTGAAAAGAAGTACATCTTGACTTTATTTTGTTTTTTTTTTTTTGAGAGGTTTTTGCTATATGGCGCATGTGTTCGCCAGAAAGTCAGAGAGAGACAAAGACAGAAAGCGAGAAATCACACACACACACACACCCCGTGGGGGTGGTGGCCACACCACAATCCCTTCTCCTCCATTCTTCTCTCAGGATCTTGGGGATGTGCGCACACCCGCCCGGTGTAAGTTTAAGCCACCAGGTCCAGACTCGAACCATGGTCGGCTACCTGGGAGTCCAGCAACAGCCATTAAGCCAACTGCTGGTCCCTACATATTGACTTTGTGCAGCTCTGGTTAAAGTGCTCAAAGAACCTAGTATAGACATTTCATCTTCACAGTGTATCTATAACGAGGATAATTCTATGCAAAGTAAGATAGCACTTAAACAATTTTTCCAAGATCACACAATAGGGAGGAATAATTTTCATCCTCCTGACTTCTTATAGTGAGATTTGTTGACACTGACCTTGACAGAGGCTCAGCTCTCTCAGCGTGAACCACTAGAGACAATAGCTACTCAATTAGCATATTTACTAAATTAAGTGCAGCTAGTTTTACATCTTATTTAGGTGACTCCTGTCTCTGTTTTTCTAAGATTCTAGAATGTTTCAAGTAAACTATTACTGAATACCATTTTATTTTTCAGTTTAGAAACCTAGATTCGATGATAGAAAATATTGTGTATAAGACACTACAGATGTGGTTTTAATATCTTGAACACATCCATATACAGTAAAATCAAATGGACTCTTCCCATTCTTTCAACAGTTCAAGTTGTGAAAGAGGGCATGCCATTTATGAATAATATCTGTACTAATAATGCTTTGTTGACACCATAATGTAAAAACTAAACTTACTGAATATGAAGATCAAATACTGTAGAATCTATGGCACCTGTTTTGGAAAATAAAAACTCGTTTTGTGTTATAAGAGAATATGTCATGTTAAATTTTTACTACCTATGATTGACATTCTTCAGGATCTGATTTGTTATTTTATAGCTAAATTTATACAACAATAACAATCAAACACTCAAGATAATGAAACCCCTTTGTGTTTAGAAGTGTCTTGCCTATTAATTTATTGAAATACAACTAGTTTCTGAAAGGGAAGAACTACCAGAAAAATACCATTTTTCATTCTGAAGCCATACTTTGTTGGTAACTTTAAATATCTGTTTACTTTGATAATAGTCTCCTAATTATTTCTTCCTCCTATCTCTGTCCTTTTCTGCAGGCCATCTTTAAGGTAGTGTTCTAAAATATATCTTTATGATATTGCTCTGCTTAGAAACTTTTAGAACTTTTCTTTTTTTTTTTTTTTTTTTTTTTAGAGATTTTCACTGTAGGGCATGTGCGCTCGCCAGACAGACAGAGAGAGACATAGAGACAGAAAGTGAGAAATCACCCCCCAGGGGCGATGGTCACGCCACAATCCC